TTAATAAAAATAAAAATAAATAATTCGATATACATTTTTGGCCTATTTGTAAGAATATTAAAAATTCATGCAACGCACAATGAACGAATCGATATTGTAAAAAAAAAAAGCGTATCTTATGCAATTTTTTTTTCTTTTTTGGTTTTTTTTTCTAATAAATAAATTGGAAACGTTAGTTTACATAGAAATACATGATTTTACTTTTAAATACTTATATTAGAAACGTGAAATAAATGAATAATTAATGAAACGTGTTATTTAAAAAGTATCTCGTTTAAAAATTGATCGACGTCATTTTATTTGTTATAACACAAAATTTTATATAAATATTATCTTTAATTTGTATTTTTATGAAATACACGTGAGGTATTTATTATAATTATAATTAATCAAATTATTATTATTATTATAATTTATTATTATAATTATATTATAAATATATTATTATAATATAAATTTATTAATATTATTATAATATAAATTATAAAATAATTCTACTAATAAATCATTATTACCTACAATTATAATTAAATCAAAACTTTACACGAACTTTGCACTTGGAATTCTTCTTCTTGTGCGTTTCATGGATTTCTTTTTTTTTTTCTTTTTTTTTGAAAATCGTTTGAAAGTTTAACAAAAATATAATGTTTTCGTAAATTAGCAGTATATTGCTCTCATTGTTATATTTACACGTACATCACACCATCGCGGTTATTAATTTGTTAACGTTTCAATTCTACAAGCTTTGAGATAAAAAAAAAAAAAAAAACAATTGTGTGTTGTTGAAGAAATACTGTTGCGAATGAATTAGCTGTCAAAGTGACAGCTTAGACTGATGATATTTAAACAAATTCTCATATGTATTGCTCAATTAAAATAAAAAAAAAAAAAATAAATAAAAAAAAAAAACAAAGAGAGAAAGAGAATGTAAGAAAGTGAGAAAGAAAGAAAGAACGAGAGAGAAAGAGAGAGAGAGAGAACATGTTTGCGCATATTATTAAAAGGTTCTATTTACATATACATGTTTTATATTTGTAATTAAAAAACGAAACTAAGATAAAGAATGATAAGAACGAAAGAGAGAGAGATGAAGATAAGGATAAAAGATTAAAAAAAAAAAAAAAAAGAAATGGAATAATCATCTAAACATACTTAAAAATATTACCTGAAAAATGATTAGACTATGTAATCTCCAAAGTATTTGCTCATTAAAGTGCAAGGGCATGTTAG